ACTGTGTCATTGCCTGCCATTACCATTCACCTGGTAATGAGCCCCTGGCCAGGAGTGGGGGACCTGTGGCCTTCTGGGTCTCTGGGTGCGGCCTTTTGACTGAGTCCAAGTTTTACAGAACAAATCCTTTTATTAAGGGGTTTTGGTCTATGAAGTTTGGATTTGGTCAAAGGGCTGCACTTGAGGACCCAGAGGGTCACATGTGGCCTTGAGGCTGCAGGTTCCCTACCCCTGCCCTGGACCCTTAGCTGACCTTCTGTCAGCATGTACAGCCTTCACAACCCCTATGTCACCTACAGGCCATGATGGGGCATCTTCATGTAACTTTAGCTACTGAAATAAAGAAATTGTCTATCTGTTATCTTACCCTGAGAAATTGAAATTCTAATCTTTTATAGAACAATCGTACTAGCTCATATTCATAAAACACTTTACAATTTACCAAATACCTTTTTTGAAACACCTTTAAGATATCATTTTACACATCACGAAGCAGGCTGAGTAAGTTTGCGACCTGCCCAGGTCACAAGGCCCAAGAGAAGTGGTAGAGCCAGAGACCCACGTCAGGCTTGGGTTTCCACTAGGTTTCTCCCAGTCAATTTACATTTGTCTGACAGTGCTGATTGATAATACTCATCCCATGCTCTTAGGAAAGCTTGGCATTATCTTGACATGGTTATTTTCTTGGTTCTGGATATTTTATTTATGATTCCATGCCTTGTCTTTTCAAGTCTAAAGATTATATCCTAAACTTGGCTGTTAATTTCTGTTACAACTGAATTTAGTTTATTTGGGGGGGAAGAGTTGGTAGGAGCGTTCCTGTGTGTCAAGCACATTCTCTCTGAGCTGCTGGGGTGTCCGGGCCTCCTTGCTTCTTGGAACCTGTGCTGGGCAGGAGTGGCCTTCTTCAGTTGTCCGATAACTCGAAGCTCCTCTCATGAAAAAGACCAACGTCAGAAAAAGTGCAAAAACCAACCTCTCCCAGTGAAGGGGCAGCGTTTCTTCCGTACTTCTCTAAGTGCCTTAAGTGTAGACAAATGATTTCAATTTTTCTTGCAAGTTTCATCCAGTTTCTTTCCAAATTACTAATGAGGAGGAGAATAATCTCTGATTTTGTTTTTATTTGTCCCATTCAAGTTTCAAGCATAAAATAAAAATTCTCCCATAGTAAACTTAGCCACATCCAAACAGCTTAAGATTGATTTCACCTCACTACCTGTGTTCTTGTGTTGAGTCAAAAATCTGCCTGGTTTTGCTTCCCTGTTTGACCTAGCTCAGTCCCCTGGAGGACCAGAATGCTCATGTTTCCCTAGGAGAGCTTCTTAGGCGTGTGGAGGTGGCTACTGCTTCTCCCTTTAGCCTTTCCTAGTCCAATAAAAATGTTGCCAGTTCCTTCAGCAGTTTCTCAGAGAATGTGTTTTCCTGGTCACCTGTTAATGAGTAGAAAAGGTCTTTTTAAGTGATGGCTTCAGTTTAAGAACTGGCAGGAGATCCATGTGTGATCTGCCCGGTGGCAGCCCAGCCAGATGCATACTTCTGGCCATCCGAGGCTTCCGTTCATCTTGTTTTACAGCCATGTTCTTACTGTTTTGTTCATAACAGACCTTGTACTTAATGGAAATCTTGTCTTTTTCTTTCTTTCACACCAGCAGTTATTAAATCACATTTCAGTGGAGGACTGCACTGCATTTAAGCCCATTTCTTATTCTAACCCATGATCTCATTATTTAAGTTAGATTGTTTTCTGACAAATTAACTGCCTCACCTAGATTTGTGTCCTTGACTGTCTGTGAACAGGCTTTCTTTGCCATTGTCATTGATAATAAGATTGGGAGTAGCTGATAGTTACTTTGTGCTTTAAGGTTTGCTTTTACACATAAAATCTCATTTATCATCAAACCCTGTGAGGTTTAGGTACTAAAGAAATTATGACAGTTTTGCAGATGAGTCTGTGTTTTAAGTGTCTTGGGTGGCGTTTAAACCCATGTCTTCTTCCAACAAGTCCATAGACTGGCTGCATCTGCTCCCTTGCTTGGTCTGCCATTCATCTCAAAGGAAGGCCCCGTCAGTGTAGAGTACCCATTCAAAAATAGAGTCTTTTGGTGATGAGGACTTGCACCAGGGTGTGGGGAGTGTCAGAGGAGAGAAGGGGCATATTCTAGAATTTTTTAAAATAATTAATTAGTTTATTTTTAGTTTTTAACATTCACTTCCATAAGATTTTGAGTTTTCAATTTTCTCCCCATCCCCAAGATGGCACGCGATCTGATACAGGCTCTATTTATACATTCATGTTAAGCATATTTTCCCATTAGTCATGATGTAAAGAAAAGAAAAACTAGAACTCATGGGAGGAACCACAAGAATGAAGCAATAAAACAAAACAGCAAAAGAAAAGGTCCTGGATCTAATGCTGGGAGTCATTTGTTAAGTGCCTACTGTGTGCCAGGCACGGTGCTAAGTCCTAGGGATACAAAGAAAGCCACAAGACAGTCCCTGCTCTCCTGGAGCTCACCATTTCATGGGGGAGGCAGCGTAGACACCAGTAGGTACCAGCAAGCCATGTTCAGGTTCAGTTGGGGAGACTCTTAGAGGGGGGATGGGCCAAGGCTTCTTACAGAAGGTGAGCCTTGAAGGAAGGGGAGGCAGAGGGGGAGGTCCTGGGTGAAGAGGAGGAGGAAAGGGGAGAAAGAGACAGATGGAAGAGAGATAGAGATAATTCATTCCAGGCCTGAGAGACAGCCAGGGAAAATTCCCAGGGTGTGGAGATGGGCTGCCGATGTGAGGAGCAGCTAGGAGGCCAGGGTCCCAGAATGATGGAATACACAGAGAGGAGTAAGATGTAAGAAAGCTGGAAAAAGGTGAGAGGCAGGGCAGAAGCTATCCGGCCTGACACCCTGCCCCCCCATTTTATAGATGAGCAAATGGAAACCCAGAGTTTGTGCCAGTGGCACAAAGGTCTCCAAAGCCAGTGCTGCATCTGCTGTAATAATAACAACAATAATAACAATAACAGCACTGATAGTCCAGTACTGAAGAGGACCTGAGGAAGCTAGTGGTCCAGTGGATAGAACACTGGAGCTGGAGTCAGGAAGGAAGCCCTGGGCTCAAATCTGGCCTTAGTTACTTATTAGCTGTGGGACCCCAGGCACTTCATACCATATAATTAGAATGACTAACTTTAGCCTCAGAGAAAGTGAGAAAATGTAACCTCTCATTGGAGAGGTGAGGGGACTGTGGATGAGGAACAGTGAATACCCTGTCAGGCACAATTGATAAGGTGATTCGTTTTGTTGAACTGCCTTTTTCCCCCTTTTTCTGTGTGAGTGGGTGGGCAATAAATCTGAAATAAATGTGATTGGTAAAAATCAACTAAAAAGTAACAACAAAAAGATGTTTTTAAAAAGAAAGGTTGTTACTTAATTCTAATATTCCCTGGATTTAATTTGATCCCACTGGTGACTTGCAGAGGCCTTTCCCTAGAAATTACTGACCTTTGCCTCTGCTCTGTCCCCAGTGAGGCCTTTTCTCATCAGTCAGGGACTGGTTCATCAAAGCTTCTTCAGCAACTTGCCTTCTCTGTGCTGGGGGCAGTCGATTTGTTTCTTTCTGAATTAGATGTTTGGTTTTGTAGACTCTGGCATTGTGCTCATTTGAACAAGATGGATAAATAATTTTGCTAAGTAGAGTAATGCCTCATTTGGCCAGGCTTTACCCAGTAAATGAAGTCTAATAAAGAAACTAATTTTCTAGATAACTTAAGCTTACTGCTTCAAGTGCCCAAACTTTTTAAAAAATTCAGCCATTTTTGAGGAAAAAATAAAATGTGCAGTTCCCTGCTTTGGTGTACAGACAGTCCTGAATACCATCCATGCCGTATCCCCCAATTGTGATTCAGCCTAGGCTCAAGTCCCTTCTTCTTCCTTTCTTCCAAGGAGCTCATCAGCACAGGTGGTTTCAGGTAGTAACTGTCTGGTGGTAACAACTCAGCTTTGTGGTGTCAGCCCTGGTGCCTCTCCTGGACATTTGGAACTGGCTTTTCCATAAGTGCCTTCCCCTCAGTGTGTCCAACACCAAGCGAGTCATCTTTCCCTGCAGATCCTTCGCTCTCCCTTTTCCCCTGTACCTGCTCACCTGCCAGTTTGGATTTCCTCCTCCACAACATCCCTGGCTCCCTTCTCTTAGAGGTTCACAGAGCTTCCCCTCTACTCCAGACCCTTCTTACCTCTCAGCTGAGCTCTTGCAGAAGCCTCTTCATTGCTCTCCAGTACGTCTCCAACTGCTGCTGGATTGACCACACCACCCTCATGTCTGGTCAGCTCTAGGGGCTCCTGCTTGTTACCCATAGGGTCAAGCACACGTCTCTTCGTTGGTCTTTGAGAGTCCTTCTGTTGCCCAGACCATTCTCTCTCCTCACCTATTTCTTAGAGTCCTTAGAGCAGGTAACATCTACAACAGGAACAGTTTTCCTGAGTAGGGATTGACTAATGACAGTAACCTGTTTATTTGGTCTGCCTTCATTCTGCTGTGGCCTGGGAACCCAGATGACCCTGCTTGTTGAGGATTAGAGGTGGTGGAGAGGTCTGAGGTCCTTTGACTTAGGACTTCAGAGTAGAGGATCTCTGTTTCTGAGCTAACACACCTTGTTTTGCTTACTTCAGGGACCAAAGCCAGATTCTAGAGCATCGATGTGCTTGCGGTAAGACGTAGTGAGGGATAACTGGGGTGTCTGATAAAAATGGTGCTATTTGTAACATAATCTGAACAGTTTCATTCAATACCAGTATTGATCTGGTTTTCAAGATTTATTAGTCGGATTTTTTTTAAAAGTCATAATTAAGGTAGCATTTCTGCTGTCTTCTTTTAATGCCAATATGTATTATTTGGTGGCTAGAAGGTGATTAATTTGGTGAATTTAATGAAATGACTGATGAAGACCTTAACAGCTTTTTTCTTTTTTCTTTTTTTTACAATTATCTTCTCTTTTTTCTGTTCTACAGGGAGTAACTATTCCCAGCCAGAGGCGCTATGTGTATTACTATAGCCACCTGTTAAAGCATCATTTGGATTACAGACCAGTGGCCCTGCTTTTTCACAAGATGATGTTTGAAACAATTCCAATGTTCAGTGGTGGAACTTGCAGTAAGAGCACTTACCTTATTCTGATCTATTATAACTTTTTGCTTTACAGAACTAGAAAACCACATAAAAGTCTGGAAGGGACATTAGCGCGATGGACAGTTCTGTAGAATGGGTGTGTTTTCTGGACTGCAGAGAGAGGGCTTTGCCATCAGGAGTTGTTAGGGATAGCTCTTGCATGACTCAGGGAAATAGGAAAAGGGGGATGATGATTATGAAAAGGTTTTGTTCTTTTGTACCTTTTCCAGTGACCTAGTATTTGCAGGGTTTGGAATAGACAGAATGAAGGTGGATGGCCAACATATCAGTGAGCACCACAACATCCCTGGGCCTTGTTTTTTGTGTCTGTAAAATGAGGATGAATATATTTGTGCTGGTGCCTCCCAGGGATGTTGTGAGGAAGCATCATCTAAATCTGAATTATTAACAGTTGACCAGATTAAAATCATGGCAGCCGTCTTAGATGGAGCAGTTGGGTGTCTTATTAGGGATCGAGGCCTCACCTCTAGAGTCCTAGCCCAGCTTCTGAATTGTCTGGGCAGCAAGGCCTTCCCCAGAGTCACGGGAACGATGGTCTCCAGTGCTCGCTTTCCTCTGGGGGCTTTGACTGGGTGGAGTTACCGGGCAGAATCAGGAAGAGTCGGAAGAGTCCCAGGGCACCTGGAGAGGAGATCTTTCTCCGTCTTTTACACTGATTCATCCTCAGGTTCTCATTCTCACTCTCCTGCCATCTTTGTGTCTATATTTCTCTTCTTGGGGAAAACAAATAATACAAATGACTAAAAACTGACTTTGAGTAATATTCCATCACCAGAAAACATTTTTTTGCCTTTTAAATGTATTTTTTTCTTTTGGTGCTTTTGGTTTGAATCTTCTTTACTGGTACATCAACCTCATTGTGGTCTACTTTGTATGTTTCTCCATTTCTAAGGTGGCTGGTATGGTGGGAAAAGTATGGGATTTGGAATTTAAGACCTGGGATCAAATCTTTGCTAGTCATTTCCCTTTTGGGGCTTCAGTTTCCTTATCTCTAAAATGAGCAGGTTGGACCTGAGAATCCCTGGGGTCCCTTGTGTTACAGAGTCCCATGTGCACATTGGGACCCAGAGCTACTTCTCAGAAGCATCCACCTTTTTCCTTATAGTTCTCTGGGATCAAGAAAAAAAACGAATTTTTTAAGTACGTGATCAGAAATTCCTGTTATGTCTGTGAAGATGCTAGAAATATTTCATTTCATCACCACTTAACTGAGTGTCAGCTTTGTGAAAGAGTGCTGGGCTAGGCACGCATGAGTGTTCTTGCCTCAGGCAGCTTAGAATTTAAGGCGAGTCATAAATGTGTGAAAAGTTAGCTAATGCAACATTTAAATCATAAATATAAAAGCTGTGAGAGATGTGCCAGAGAACATTATGTGACCAATTGTCCAGTAAGTGGTGTGAGCTGTGCGTTCCGAGAGGACCAGAGCCTTCTCAGAAGCTTCATGGAGGAGAAGCCAGGGCCTTAAAGGCTGGGCAGAGAAGAAGGGCATTCTGGGGACAAAGGGCACCGAGAGAATGTGCGGTGGACGCAGTCTGCCAGGTGGCAGAGGTTGAGAAGAGGATAGACAGTTGAGGGGTATAGACTACTTTCTCTAGGAGCTTGGCTGCGAAGAGGAAGAGGAGGTGATATCAGGACTGTTCTTTAAGGATGGAGGGCAGACTTCCCTGTGGGTTGAAAGTTTTACAGACAAGGAAACCGCAATCAGGGCCGCTTCAGGGATTTGCTGGAGGTCGCAGGCTAGTCTGTGCTCTTTCCCCATCCTGTCAGGGCCTGGTTATGTAGTAGGTGCTTATTAGTAAGTGCTTGGTTGATTGCATACTTGGAAAGTGGGGAAAACTGAGCTCACTCCTCATTTATTTTCTTACTCTCCCTGTGATACCTAATAATCTTGTCTTAAACATCCTAGAGCCCTTGTCTTCTTCCCTTGATCAAGGTTCCTGCTTGAATTAGAGGAGGCTCACCACCTTTGGCCCCAGAGTAATCTTGGCCAAAAGACAGCCACATTTTTGGTTTAATAATCTTGTCTCCGGTTGTGCCAAGAGGGTTTCTTGTTTCGCTCTCTCTCTCTCTCTCTCTCTCTCTCTCTCTCTCTCTCTCTCTCTCGTGTGTGTGTGTGTGTGTGTGTGTGTGTGTGTGTGTGTGTGTGTGTGTGTATCAGGATTAAGTGACTTGCCCAGGGTCACAGAGCTAATAAGTGTCAAGTGTCTAAGGTTAGATTTGAACTCGGGTCCTCCTGACTCCAAGTTCAGAGCTCTATCCCCTGCACCACCTAGTTGCCCCTTTCTTGTTTGTCTTTTGGAAAATATTGATTGCCAAGCAAGAATGTTCTAAGGGTGAGAGAGGCTCATTTAGCAGGCAGCTCTGGTAGACTCCTTCATTTTAATAGAGGTAATACTGATAATTTCTCAATCATAGACATTTGGTTCAATACCCACCAGAATTTTTTACAACAGGTTGGAAGTTGACTGTTATTATGTTCAAAAATTTAATTAATTTTTGTACTTAAAAGTATAATTCTGTTTCTTGATGGATTACATTGCACTGTTTCTTTTAGTATACTAGTATTTGTGCTTCGGTGATATTTTATGATTTTTAGAGACTTTTAGTTTAGCCTTTAAAATTCTACTTTTGGGGCATTTTTATGTAAGTTTGTATTTTTAGGCTCAGTAGTGTCAAAATACTTAAACATTATAATCACACATTGGTTTCTCAAGGCTTTTTGCTTACTTCTGTGTTGCTTATAATGAACAGACGATGCAGTGCCAAAAAGGCTGCGTCCTACTGGATGTCTCTACTGGGATGTTGTCTGGTCACCTCGTCCTTGGCTTCCTATCTTCCTCCCCAAACCCACCCTCAGGCCTGACTTCCCTTTCTCTGTCTGAGGCCCCTCCATCCTTCAGGTGCCCAGGTACACAAAGTGAGTCATCCTCAGGTCATCCCACCACACCCCCAACATTCATTCAGTTATCACATTGTCCAGTCAGTCAACAAAAGTTGGCCAAGTGCCTCCTGTTTTCTAGGTGCTGTGCTGGGTGCTGGTGGTACCGAGACAAAGGAGGTACATTAACAAGCCGACTTCTGTAGCTGCTATTGCTCCTGCAGGGTCATTTGCTTTCTTCCTGGGGTCTCCCCACTGGGTGCTACTGCAGATATCCATATGGGGAGTCTGAAGGGAGTCCAGATGGAGACCTCCTACTCCCCTGCTGGCATCACGGAAGGAGCAGCTCCCATAGACTGACACTCTGCCTGGACTTATTTCCAGTGTCTAGCAAACTCCAATCCCGTTTTCTTTCCCCATCCCTCTGTTCCTGAATCCCAGGCTGCTCCAGCCCTGGGCCTACTCTCATCCGCACCTGCCTCGCACCATGCCTGCCACATACGGCTCTGTATGTATACCCGTCCCGGAGGAGGCAGGAGGTGGGCCTCCAGGCTGCAGAGCACTTTGTCTCTCTGCTCTTCTTTCATTTTCTCCTGAAAGTGCTCTCCGGGGTTGGGCTGGTCTCCTCCGAAGCCTGGCACACAGGTGGCCACTCTCTCCCTCCTAGGCCTCCTCCCACTTCTGTCACCACTCCTCGGCTGGCTCAGCCATTTATGTGATGACGAGACTTGGTGACTTTGTGTTTCTCTGGGGTGAGAGTGATGAGTTGAGAATGCCAGGGAGGTTGCAGAATTTGGCGATTAACTCATTCCAGGGCCTGTTCCGCTTTATCGTGTATGCAACTCCTGTACGTGTAGCTAGTTACATGTCATCCCCCCCATTAATTAGATGGTGTGCTCTTGGGGAGCAGGGACTCGTTTTTCCTCTCTTTATATCCCCAGTGCTTATAACAGGGCCTGACACATAGCAGGTATGTAATAAATACTCACAGATGAAAAGGGAAAGGTTGTGAGAGCAGTGGAGTTGTCAGGAAAGAGAAAGCATTCTGCTTTGGGCGTGGTGGTTTTGAGATGCTGTCATGCGTTCAGTTTAAAATGTCTGTGGGTGACTGAAGATGCTGGACTGTAGCTCAATAAAAAGATGGGGGTGAGATGGATGGAGACACTGTAGATGCTCCACAAAGTATCTTGGGTACAGCCCCTTTTTCTCAGCTAGCATAGACTGCCGCGAGTCTTCTCCCTCCCCGTCCCCCCCCATTTCTGGCCTTCACCAACCATTGCCCCTCAGCCCAGTCCATCCTCCACATGCCACCAGCTGGTTTTCCTGTCACCCCTGCTTAGTAAACTCCAGGGACCCCCATTCCATTTCAAATCAGTATAGAATCCCTGTTTGATATTTAATTTTCTTCACATCTGCTCCCTCCTACCTTTTCAGTCTCTTTACACACAGCCCCCCCTTCTTGCCTGTGTGAGCCTGCAGCACAATCCGGACCCTCCCACTGGCTGACCCCACGCCTTCAGTGCTCAGTTACAGGAGTCACCTGAGGTGATCACGGCTGGGTCCTTGTTTTCCATATGCAGTGAGCGTTCTTTTCCATAGCGAGCTAAGGCTCTTTCTACTAAGCGACAAGATATTTTGGATCTCATAACTGATTATCGTAACTTTAGTTACTGGGGTGTCACAAAATCTTTCTTAAGTGTCTAGAGACAATGACATATTGTATAGAGAGTGCTTTGCAAACTTTAAAGTGCCTTATAAATGTCAGTGTTATACCAGAGCAATAAAGTGAAACCTTGGTTTTCATTACAAACTTTATATTTTTACATTAAAACTTGAGTTCTCCATAGGCTTTGTAAAACCATTCATCATCCTTTGGGTCCAGTTACACTTAGCACTTCTAGGGTGGCTGACAAGGGGAACGATGACAGAAGCAGATGCCTGTGGTGTAACATGGCCTGAGGACCTGGCTTCTCTTAGCGTATTGGCTCTTAATACAAATGATAATAACTCATGCTTATCAGAAACACAGTTGTGCTCAAGGTGCCTACATCCTGAAAGACTTAATAAGTGAACCAAGGTTAACCTGGAGTCAGCAACCCCGTGAATCTGGAAACTTGTTTAATTTGATAGGACTTTACCCATTGTTCTCGGTTGCTAATTGTCTGATGAGAATCGTGGCCTATAAAAACACCCTTGACGTTTCCCCTATTCATTCATCTCCTAGATCTGATCGGTTGCTAAGCCTTTCTGATTTGTTCCTACCTTCTTCTGTCTTCTGGGTTTGTCTCCTTTTTTCTCCTGGTACGGCCACCACCCTGGCACCCGGCGCTTGTTGCCTCTGCCAGGCCTTGTTCCTGCGTCACCGTTGGTCTCTTCCTCCCATCTCTGCCCAGCCAGCCTTCCGTCCACGTAGCTGCCAAGTACATAGGTCTCTCAGGCAAAGACCTGGCCACGTCTCCCCACTGCTCAGGAAAGCTCTAGAGGGTTCCACACTCTGGCAGTTGGTGTTTAAAGCCTGTCTCTCTGCAAACTGTATTTTCTTTTAAAATTATGCATTCTTTTTATTTTGGTAAACATCACCCTTGTTTACTCCACCTTGCCGCCTCCTCCTCCTAGGGAGCCATCCTATATAACAAATCTTATATTTTTTTTAAAGACAGTAGGGAAAACCAGCATAACCAATCACAGCATCGAAAAAAGACTGAACTTACTTACAGTGCCTGTACTTGTTGACCTCCTTCTTTCTGCAGAAGGGTGGCATGGGCGGCATCTTCTTCTGTCTCTTCTCTAGAGCTGAGCTTTTAGTTTGGTATTTTGCAGCATTTCTTTTTGATTTTTTTGTGGGGGCCTGTTGTCAGTGTGTGTACTGTTTTCTTGGCTCTGCTGACTTCACTGTGCATCAGCTCATGGAGATGGTACAATGCCCAGAGTGCAGGGCCTGCAATCGAGAAGACCGAAGTTCAGGTCTAGCCTCAGACACTGGCTGGCTGCATGACGCTGGGCAAGTCACTTTGCCTCTGTCTGCCTCAGTTTCGTCATGTGTAAAATGGGGATAATGATAGCAACTGGCTCCCAGGGTGATTGTGAGGGTCTGATGAGATAAAATTTGTAAAGCACTTAGTCCAAGACTGGCACCTAATAGGTGCTTCACGAATGTTAGTTCTTTTGTTGTTATCCTCCATCATTTCTTACAGCACAGTAAATTTCCATTATATTCCCATACCAGGATTTGTTTAGCCATTCCCCAATTGATGGGCTTCGAATTTTTTTTCCAGTTCTTTGCTGTCACAAAAAAAGCTGCTCCAAATATTTTGGTGAAAGGAGGACCCTCTTTGAGCAGGTGTTGGGGAACGAGTAAAAGTCTAGAGGTGGAATCTCTGGGTTGCAGGGTGTGGATGTATTCTCATCATTTTATTTGCATAATTCCAAATTGCTTTCCCAAATGGTTGTACTGATTCACGGCTCCACCACCAAAGTACTAGTGTGCCTGTCCCCCCAACCCCCCCAACACCGATTCTTCTCATCATTGGTCATCTTTGCACTTAATAAATGCTATTGATTTGGAAGGCTTTTACAGACTTTGCTCCCGTTTTTCTCTGTGACTTTCCTGGTAGCCAGTGCTTCCTTCCTTGGATTTCTCAGATGATCCCTTTAAGTGTGAATGTCCTCATTTCTGCTCCATTGTTCAGTCATTGGGTTTTTGAGGGTGGGTCGTCGCTCTCACCGTCCCCTGACCCCAGGCTGGTGTCTTCTGGGGCAGCCTCTGCCTTGCAAACCCTAACCCTGTTCTTTGTCCTTACCACGACCTTCTGTTCCTCTGTCCCTTGGTCCTTGCCCAGCCTTGCCCTCGCACTGGCCGCCTCCTGCAGGGCCATTTCAACTCCACACTGTCCTTTTCTCTCTGGTCCCTTGGGTCCCTTATCCTCTCATCAAACTTGCCCTGCCAAGCCTCAGCCTTGGATCCTCCCACAATCTGCCGCCACCCATGCTGATTAGATGCCCTACAGATTCATGTTTGGTAATCCCAAGTGGGCCCTCCCTGGAGCAGGGCTGCCTTTTTAGGGCTCCCTAATTGGCCCCCTTCCATCCATCCACCCCCGTGGCTCTCCTAGACCTTGTCAACTCTCCTCTTACCCCCCATTACTTCTCTCCTGCCACCTTTTCAGCCGAGGACCTTGCCTCCTGTTTGACTGAAGAAATGGATGCTATTTGCCAAAAGTTCCTGCTTCTCTCTTCATCTCCCCTCAGTCTCTCTCCTTCACCCATCTCACATGGAGAGGTGGCCCTCCTTGCCAAGGCAAACTCTCTAACAGCACACGTGATCTACCCATCTCTTCCAGCAGACAGCCCTCACTGTCTCCAAACCAGCCCTTGTCTGTCCCATCCTCAGAAGCACCTCCCTTGAACCATGCCCTCCTGCCAGCTGTGGCCTCATATCTCTTCTCCCAAGGCCCTCTACAGTTGACGCCTCCGCTCCCCTTCCTCTCCCTCTCAACTTTTTGTGGTCTGGATTCTGACCTCATTCAAATAACTGCTCCCTCAGGTTAGCAGTGATCTGAATCACCAGATCCCGTGGCCCTTTCTCATCCTTTTGTCCTCATCCTTTCTGACCTCTCTGCAGCCCTGGACATTCTTCTCTCAAGGTGTTCGGGGTCCTCCCACAACCTTTCCTGGCTCTCCTCCTCCCTCTGTGACCGCTCTGTCTCGGTCTCCTTTGCTGGATCCTCCTCCCCCTCCAACAGTAGGTGTCCTTCAGGGTTCTCTGCTCTTCTCCCTCTGTACCACTTCACTTGGTGATTTCATCACCTTTTCTACACACCCAGTTGTTTCTATGTTGACGATTCTCAGATTAGCCTTTCTCATCCTAACCTATTTTTAATCAGTTTGAGCAGTTTATTGATCAGATTTCTGAAATCTTCTCAATGTTTGGCTTTTACATTATTGTGGTCATTGTTTAAACGGTCCTGCTTTGCCTAGTTTATATGAGTCTTTCTATGTTTATTTGAATTCTTCATATTCATAATTTCTCATGGTTCAGTAATGTTCCATTAAATTCATATGCTACTTTGTATTCATTCATTCCTCAATAGATGGGCACTGACTTTCTTTCCACTCTTTAATTGTTTCAAAATGAATCCGTTTTCCCTAACCTGTTTTTAAGGCCTTGTATTCTTTTGAAAACTGTTTAAGGGGGAAAAAAAGTTAATTAAAACAGGGCCAAACCAGTGGGAACTAATTACTTTACCAGCCTGGATTTCAGCAGAGAAAGAAATCATTTCTATCTCTGTCTCCCTGTCTCTGTCTGTCTCCTTTGCTTTCTTAAATTGTGAGTCTCCCTCTCAGAAATAATCTAGTTTGAAATGCCTCTATCATGAGAGTAGCTGTATATACTTGGCATTTTTTTTCAAATTTAATTTTTAGAGAAACTTTATGTTCGTCTAATAACAGGCATTTACTTTTTGTTGACAGTACAGATTTAAATTCTAGAATAGGAAGAAAAGAAGCAAACTTTAGCAAGCTCAGCATACTAAAAGAAGAAATTGTTTGGAAAAGTTACATACTTTAATTTGATATGGTTTATGTTTTCTTTTTAATTATGTATGCATATTCACCTGTTGCTATATGCATGTAAGCATAAGAAATACCTTAAAAATAAACCTACAGAGCTCTTCTTCAAATAATGTAAAGAGTAATGGTATGCTAAGAGGCTAAATTTTGCCAGAGTGATCTTAAGACAGGAGAAAATGGGATGCAACTACAGCAGATTTTAACAAGACATTCTTTGCAATTTTTACTCTTTGGTGGTTTATTGTTAACTTTTCCCCCTTTTTTTCTCTGCTTAATGCCTCTTCCCTTCTTGTTTTCCCTTGGGTTCTGGCTTTATATACCTTATAAGAATAAAATATAGTATTAGAGCTAAAATGAAATGTGTGTGAAAATGTCACGTATTTACTAGTGTGTGACCCTGGGCAAATCACTTAACCCTGATTGCCTCCAAAAGAAAAAAAAAATGCTTATAAGTTTATGCTGTTAGAACATTCTAGATTTCATATCTTCATTCTATAGCAATTTGAAATTGTGTTCATTGTTATTTTCTTTCAGCCATTCAGAAAACTTATTTGTTACCTTTTGCTGTGGTTATAGACTAAGCAGTCTTAATCGCTATGATTCCTTTCATCTTAAAAAAAATTCTTTATTTTGTGGGAGGAAAATGTGTATCAAAAAGACAGATCCCCAGCAAGGTCAAGTGATATAGCCAGAGTTTGAGAGGCAGGACTTGAACTGGGGCCCGAGGATACTGCACTGCTTTTTCTTTGTGAAATTAAATCTTCTGGAGCATTGAAAACATTTTAGAGATTTTTAGAAACATTGAATCTATGGATTGTTTTTAGTGGAGTGAACTTGAATTAAATCAAAACATTGAAATATACTCTATATCCACCAGAGTGGAATATAACCAGCTTTCGCCTGTAGCTGCTTTAAAAAGGTATGGATTAAGCAGCATGTTGGAAAAACTCCTCTTCTGATTAGTTTCGGTTGTGCCTGGAGGCTTGGGTTATGTGGTGTGTGTTTGGCAGCTCTGTAACGAGCCCGGGTGTTTCTCCACACAGATCCTCAGTTCGTGGTGTGCCAGCTGAAGGTGAAGATCTACACGTCCCCTTCAGGACCCACGAGGCGGGAAGACAAGTACATGTACTTTGAGTTCCCCCAGCCTTTGCCGGTGTGTGGTGACATTAAAGTGGAATTCTTCCACAAGCAGAACAAGATGCTCAAGAAGGTTTGCACTTTGCTTTTCTTGGGGGAAATTGTCCCTAGGCTGGGCGGGAGCCTGGGGACCTGGCCTGTCTCTGCCTCAGCTGCAGTGAGGTGTGGAGGAGGAGCAGAGTGAAGAGAGGCCTCATTTCTCTCTGTGGTTGCGTCATAACTCTAAATGATGTTAGGCTCGGGGATGGAAGTAATTAATTACCTCCTTCTGATGCTTTCCTCTTTTTGGAAGAAAAGGCTTTGGGGATTAAGGCATTCGACTTTATCTCCTGCTCCCCAACAAATGCTTGAGATCTGTTATCTGGTAGAGGAAGGTATGGTGAGCAGGGGAAGAGGCAGGAGTGGAGAGGTTTACCAGACTGTCTCGCTAGCACCAAGAGCATTGCATAGATCTATTTTTAATATACTCCCATTTAGAACCTTGGTTTATTAAGTGAGTCTTTTAAAATCTAGTCCCTGATCAAGAATGAGTAATGTTAGTGATTCTCTAAGATTTTTTTTTTTAATTCCTGTTTGGGTGTTTTCATAGATGGTAGCATTGAAGCTGGATACACCTCGTGATAGAGAGCAGCACTTAGTTTATCTTAATCCTTAACTTGTTTTAGAACTGTCCCCTTGTAAGAGCAAAAGGTGAAATTTCACTCATTTAAACCCACATTTTATCACTTGATGAATCATAGAAACCAATGGAGAACTTCCAACAGCTAGAAAACTTAGATGAACATAGGGGATATTTTGGCTAGTTGGTGTCCTTGGAGCATGTTACAGAGTCCTGAGGTAAAGACATCAGTCCAATTGGCCAGGGACTCTCCATAAAATAATCCATATTTCTGTAAGCTCCTTAAGGTTCCCAAGGGGCTCTCTCAAGAAACTTTATTGACATGAAGAGTTAGAACACAACATGCCATTCTTCATTAAAGACTTAAGTAGAAGTTAAACTCTATCTTACTTTTCAATACTTTTTCTTTTCTTGAGAGTCCCGGAAGCTTTTCTAGGAAATATGTGTAAGCTAAGGGTTGCACAGGGCCTTTAACAAGGCTTCATCTGATAGGGAAGGACGTGGGATGGTGGGCCTCCCAGCCACTGTAGGTGTGTGAAGGATTACATATTAGCACTTCTAAATATTGACCAGTAGAGATTAGATTACATATTTACGCCCCATCTCTTTGTGCACACTGTTGTACTTTGCAGGATAAAGTGGGCACATGGTCTTCTTTGGGATGAGTCTTCCTGCTTGCTGCTGGTGTTAGGCTGTGATGGGCAGAGGGGGACAGCAGCATAGATGGGTGCTTTACTTTTGGGTGGTAGAAAGGCCAGACAGACATCCTGGAAATCGGTAAGAATTATTGCCTTGTTCTCTTAACAAGAGGCTAAATAAGTTAAGACTGTAGTCACCGACTTAATGACATATAATAAGTAGAGCAACTTGGGCCACCATTTTCTGAAAACCGACATGTCGGGCTAGGAGGGTCTGCAAAGGGGAATCTAGTGAGGCCAAAAAGACATAAGTGCTTAAAAAGTAAGGCAGCAGAAGTTCACGTCAGCAAATAGAAGAAACTCCTGTGTGAGATAAATTGCCCAGGGAATCATCCTGGCAGGAATGTCAATGGGAGTCAGAAATGAGAGCAGTTGCCTTGCAAGCTGGGGTGGCCCTGAGGGTCTCTGCCCTACGAAGGGCTTATCATCCAAGGCGGTCATGGCACTGCTGACTTATGGCAGCTGCTCAGGGCCAACACAGTTTGGCATCATCTTAGATAGGAGAAAGGGGACTTGATATTTTAAACCAAAATAAGTTACTATAAATCCTAATCTTAGCCTTGAAAATGGTTAAGGGGTGAAGATGTGTTACTCTATATGTGTTCTAAGACATTAGTTTTTTTAATCTTTGTCCTAATCCTAAATATTATGTGGGGAGTTATCTATGCTGTGGTGGCAGGCGTGGATGTGTGAGACATCTTCTTTTTACATCAGTTGATGGTAAGCAAGCTCATAAATTGTTTGTGTTTTTTTTTTTTAGGACAAAATGTTTCACTTTTGGGTAAATACATTCTTCATACCAGGACCAGAGGAAAACTCAGACAAAGTAGAAAATGGAAGTCTTTGTGGTGATCAAGAGATTGATAGTATTTGCAGTGCCGAGCGATCAGATAATGACAAGGAATATCTCATACTCACATTATCCAAAAACGATCTTGACAAAGCGAATAAAGACAAGGCCAACAGATACTTTTCTCCAAACTTTAAGGTTAGTAAATCCTTGTGGAGGTTTTCATGTTAAAAATTAGATATAAAACAAGGACTTATTTCATTTCTTTTTAGATTGAGGTATGTGAAATTACCTAAAAATAATATCAAATTCCTGAGGAATTTCTAAAGAAGCAGCATAAACCTGTTAATTATCAATGAATTCAATTTTAGTTCTGTAAGCATTAATTAAGCCACTACCCAATATGCTTACTTTCTGTATTTGAGATTAGACGTGGTGTGTGTGGTGCAGAGGAGAGAGGTGTCCGTTTTGATTGAGAACTTGAATTGAGATTCTGATTCATCCATTGATATCTGTGTGACTTCAGCAGTGACTTAACCTCTCTGGACTTCACTTCCCCCAGTCTGTAAAACAAACAGATTAGATTAGGTGACTTAAGGTCTCTCCTAGCCTAAATCGGTGGTTCTGTGAATAATCAATCAAGATGGTGTCTTGTTAATTGGCTGCATCATCTTGAATAGGTAGTAGCATGCAAAGAAAAGTATGCTCTTGAGGGAAAGTGCTTTTTAGTCATCTAAGGATTTTTGTGACTGTCACGTCTTGGGACAGATCTCAGAAAGGATGAGCATTTCACGAGCTTGCCGCTCTAGCCATAGTTGAGAAGGATCATAATCTGGGCCTGGGAGAGACCTTCGAGGTCATTTAATCTCCAGATTGAGATGGGCCCAGACAGGTCAGGCAGCTCACCCCATGTCCACTGTGGCATTTGGGCTATAAATAGTACAAGCAGAATTTGAACCCTAAATCAGAATAATTGTTTGCCACTCTTTGAGTTAGCATTGGTTTTCATCTTGATTCTGGAGCTGAATTTTGTTTGTAAATGCAAGAAATTTCCTTTGCCATGCAGTATTTGCCCAGGTCCTGGAGTCAGGGCATTCATTTCAGCTTTAGCTCATCAAAGTATTTCAGTGTGTTTTCTTTCTGAGCTGCTGGTGATTGGGATCCTAGGATCTTGGCATTAGGAGTCCAGCCCCTGAGTCTGAGGAGGGGAAGGGACCTGCCCGGGATCACCCGTAGAGCAAGTGGCAATGCCAGCCTCCAGCCCGAGGCTTTTGCCTCCAAAGCCAGGGCTCCTTCCCTCTACCTCGTTGTGAAGATTGTCTTTGGGATCATTGGGTTTAGATTTTTCGCATTACCTTAAGATCCCTCTAATTCATATTTTTCTGGGATGAAAAAATTCAGGTCCCTACATCATTCTTAAGTTATGAAAGTCCTTGCGTAATTGCAAGTCATTTTTTTCCAGCCATAGCAGCTCATGAAGCAGCTTAAGCTGTAGGAGGAGTGCCTTGTGGTCTGCATCAGTGAAGGGAGCATCCACGAGTGAATGTCCTGGCCTTTTGAAGCATCGATGCTAAGTGTATCAGGGACTGTGTGAGTCACATCCCTGAGACAGAGGCCCGAAGGGCCCAGGATGGGAGAGCTGCCGGACGCTGGGGAGCCCCATCATGCATTGTTTCAGACCCAGCCCTTCTGGGATCAGCGCTTCTCACCAAGTCCATTCCGCACATTTTCAGGGGACCTACTGCGCGCGGCAAAACTATGTTTGTAATTATACTGAGACATTTTAATTTCAAACATGGGCTCTATCAGTAGGTAACACCCATAGAAGCAGAAGCTTTTTAGGGTTCTCAGGTTTTGTGACTACAAAGGGATCCCGAGATTAAAAAGTTTGGCAACTGCCCAAGCGCTCAAGTCAATCTCTGGTCTCCTGTGTTCTCAACACTCTGTTTCCAGCTGTCCCTTGAGCTGTGGTCACTCCTCATGGTCCCCCTAGATTCCTTCAGGGAGCAGCTCCCCGAGGGGGGGCTGCTGCACTTGGCTTTCAGCCTCCTCTTCTTTCCTTTTGCTTCTTGTCACTTGTGTCCTTTTTCTTCTTTCTTCTCCTCTACACTCCTTTTCCCTTCTTCTGTTTCTGAGCCTCATGAGTCATAGAGGGATTAAGGATGTTTATTGTTAATGAGGTCTCTGTGTCAAGGAAGGTTGACTCTCCTGGAGGGCACCTCTCCCCCAGTCATAGGTTTATAGATTTAAAGCTGAGAGGTACCGTAGAACTTTACAGACAAGGAACCTGAGGCATGGAGAGGTGAAGTGACTTTTCCTCAGCTCACACAGCTTGTTAGGGTCTGATGCAGGATTTGAAACCCTGGTATTCATGATTTCAGCTTCATCGCACAGTCTGCTGTACCACACCACCTACCTCTCTTAACATCTCCTTCAGTATCTCCATAACAAAGCTCCCTTGACCTCTTTATTCACCGATACTGGTCCTTCAAAGCTAGCGTTCAGAATAAATTTGTGATTGTGTTGTTTTTCTGTTTTTAAAGAATATAATTCTGCTGTTTTTGTTTATTGCAAAAATTTATTACTCCAAATATGTTATGGGTTAATTTGGTAAAACTGGGAACGTAAGCACCATGCGTAACTATCTTTATGGGAAGGCACTTTTGAATTCCCACGCGGAGCATCTGCAGGTTGTGAAGGAGCCTTGGGACCTCGGCCCATTTGCATATCTCATCATCATTTAGCTCTGAAACTAACGCTTGGTTGTCATTCATCGAAATACATTTTAATACTAATAAAAACATTAGAATTATGAGCTTCTGAAAAACCGTTTGAATCTCTGGGCGCTCGGCTCTCCTGGGTCATGCTTGACGCAGCCCTTCCCGGGAGTAAGTGATCTAAATCCCTGCTCGGTTTTACGCCGGTGTAGACGGCAGTGGGGGCGAGTGCCCGAGGCAGGCACTCGCCAGGACAGGCCCCTTGCCCCTCTTCTCTGAAGCAGGGAGCCTCCCAAGCGAAGTGCCGCCTGACTGTCCGCTGCTCCTGTTACGGGTTTTCACTGGAGGGTTTGCGTTTGTGTTTTTGTGCTCTAGGTGAAGCTTTTCTTCACAAAAACTGTAGAAGAACCGTCAAACCCAGAGGCCAGCAGCTCTACTTCAGTCACCCCGGACGTTAGTGACAATGAACCTGATCATTATAGATACTCGGACACCACTGACTCTGACCCAGAGAACGAGCCTTTTGATGAAGATCAACACACACAGATCACAAAAGTCTGAATATTTTTTTTATCAAGAGGGAAAAAATATCAGAGACAAACTTGAAGAACCTGAAAAAGGACCTTTTTTTTAAATGGCAATAGGACATTGTATCAGCTGACCAGTGATAGGAACAGTGACCTTTCCCTGACCAGTTCCGTGGGGGCCTCTCCACCGGCGGCAGGCTTGCGATGCTCGTCCCGTCCCGTGGGAAGGAGGCTGCCTCGTTATCATCTGTATATACCTTTTGTGTTCAAAGGACACGTAAAGTTTCAATTAGGAAAAATAAAGATGGCACTTTCCCTTTTTCCAGTTTTATACAAGTGGAGGCAGACCTGGTGTGTGATGCGTAGGGATGTCCCTTTGTGTTCTGCCCCCTCCCGATGTGGCTTCAGAGCTCCCCGAGCTGTCCCGGTTCCCAGCCTGCCCCTTTGCACTCACGTGGCGACAGATAGGGCTGCAGTTGGTGGCGAGGAGTTTCCCAAGGGTTTGACTCCATTGTAATATTGCATGGATTGGGGTCAGGGGAGTGGAAAGAATGCTCAGAAAGGCGTCTCTTTGATGCTGGACTCTGGACCAGGCACCATCTCCAGCTGTTCTGCAGGCACCTTTCTTTAGCATGCTACAGTAATTAATCCTGGACTTTGGAGAAATTGGCCTCTCTCACTGCTTGTTGTTTGTGCATTTTATTTTTTTAAGCATATTGGTGCTAGAAAAGGCAGCTAGAAGGAGTGATTCTGTATTAGGGGTACAGGAATGAACCTTCCACAACATCCTAGAGCCCCACAGGTTAGGGGTCTAAGCCGAAGGGGGGTCTTAGCTAAGAAGAAACACAGCAACGATGACTTCACCATACAAATGTGGAGGCTGGAGACAAACACCGCGATTAAAACCGTGACAGTGCTCTCTGAAATGTGCTTTCTCGCTTGTCCCGACTGCTCCCTGTCCCGTGTAATCGAGGCCAGTGCTAAAGGTCAGAGGTTGTTAGTCCCCACATCAGCCCCCAGCTCCCCTCCCTGCTGTGGCTGCTCCATGTGCTGCCTGCAAGCTTTGCGTCCTCCTTAAACAGGAGCGCGGTTGTGACGCTGCACCGAAAACTTCCCTGGGAGACTCCCCAGTAAGTAAGACCGAAGACTCATGATGCATTGATTCAGGCACCTAGCTGTCAGCTGTTCTTGCCCTTGGACCGCACACATTCTATCACCATGAGTTTTGCAGTTTTGCACACTTTTTTTAATGTCATTAACTGTTAGGGAATTTTACTTGAAGAATACTTAGCACCTAGAATATTTATATATTAAGAAAGACCATGACACACGGTAAACAGGAAACAAGGAACTTCTCGGCACTGCCCAGCTGAAAGGAGAAGGGGTCTCGTCTCCTCCAGGTCAGACAGTGTTTGTTGTAGGCTTCTGTTTAAACTGGCAGTGTTGTATCCTTCATTCGGAGGCCGGTAGTCGGAAGGAGGGGCTCGCGCTCCCCTTTTGAATGTAGCCACAGGACAAGCGTGTCCAGACTCCAGGAGATCAGCAGGGAACACACTGGTAGGCTATAGCAGATGGGAGGATGCTGGTGAAATTTATTTTCCAGAAATTTGGTGTACTTCAAACTATACTTTTATCTTCAGGAAATTTGACTACCATTTCTTTCTGGTGTAAAATCCCATTTTAATTGACTCATCGGTGCTGACATTGGTCATCAGCTGTGGTCTGACCTCATTAATGTATTGAATTTGGAATGCATTTGGCCATTTGTAGAGTTTGGAGGGTGATTCGATTTGGCAGGATGTCATCTGAAGAATCTTGGTCAATAATGCAACACTATCGGAATCTGGTAGTCCGTTTCATTCAGCAGATTAATGATCAATTTTTCCCCCAGCTCTTATGATTTACACGTTTATGTTTAATGATCTTTATGTACCCAAAATACTGCTTTGGCGCTCACAAGTGACGCTGGTGAAACTGACCAGCAGGAGGTAGGCGCCCCTAAGATAGACACATGAAATGTGTCTCCCACCACTCACAGAAAGACAAGCACTGCTGACCAAATTCAGTGTTCACGCTTTTAAGTACTTCAGTTATCTACACTGTTCGCTCCAGTTTTGGGCTCAAGACATTACAATTTCATTTGTATCGTGCCAACAGGTCCCGCTGAGGACTGGGTTGGAAGCAGTGACATTCTAATGGGCTTTTGCACTCTACTTCCTTTTCCTTTGGAATGTGAAGGTCTGAATGAGGGTTTCAATTCTGAATGTTTCCGCATTTTTGAGAAGCCTTGCTTACATTTTATGGTGTAGTCATTGGAAATGGAAAAATGGCATTATATATATATATATTATATATATAAATATATATTATAATACTCTCCTATACTTTATTTCAGTTACCATCCCCATAGAACTTGACAAGAATTACTACGACTGAAAGGTTTTTTGAGTCCTTATGAAAACTTTATTTATGACAGTATTCACAAGTAGCCTGAGATGCATTCTGCAGCTCATCTCTTTGAGTTTCTGGACTGTATGCTTAACCTTTCTGGATGTGCAGCAGCTTCCATGTCTGAAATGACTTGAAGGTATCCATCCCTTTCCACAGAGCTCCCCGCTGGGCCCTGGGCCCTCCCCAGGCACCTGGAGCCCCGCCCACCCCCAACCCCTCCCCCGGACTCTTTTTGCCACCATTCTCAAAGGGCAGTTGAACAGAGAGCGTCAAGATGATTTGCTGTGGCGTGGGCTGTAAGCCTCAGTGGAGTTTACAGGCAGCCTCAGATGGTTCAGCTTTAAAAAATTAAATTAGGGTGCAAGGTCCATGTTTTAGTTCTAGAAAGCGTGTGCAATATGTTAACGACGGCTGTGGTTGCCACCAAGTGCCTCGTTCACCTTTAAATACTGTTAGAGCGTGTCCTGCATGCAGATGGAAGGGTTGGAGCTGGGCCCTGACGCGGGGGCTTCTGAGGGGCCTCGACTCTGCCCGGTCACATTTTCAGTCTGTTTCCCTATAGAGTATATATCCTAAAAAAGTCCAGTCTGTTCAACAGCCTTACTCGGATTCAGCCTCTTGAGATCCTCCAGTGCTGTGCCTCGGTGGCTCCGTGTGTAATGCGATGCACTGAGGATACACAACCACCACCATACGATGTGTACAGGATAATTAATGCCTCATACCAATCAGATGTCCATTTGTTACTGTGTTTGTTAACCCTTTATCTCTTAGTGTTATAAACTCCACTTAAAACTGATTAAAGTCTCATTCTTGTCACTGTGTGGGTGTTTTATTAAATGAGCATTTTGAACTTAAGTTGCTAATGTATTGGGTAGTGTGTATTTACAGAGGTATAGTGGGCCTCAGCTGGGGACAGAGGAGTGGAGGAGGAGGCTTCAGCTAGGAGTTTTTTCTGTTTAAGGTAAAAAAGGATTCTAAATACACCAGCCCTCCTGGGAAAGGTCCTATTACTTTTAAAAAGTGAGGGTCGTATAAATTATGTCTTGGTTTTCTCCTTCACTCCCCACCTCTATCCTTTGAGGCCATTCAACCCAAGAATGGATCAATCTCCTTAGTTTTTAATTTTACTGTAAAAGCAGGAAAGAAAAAGCCCTCTCTGGGCTCAAACCTCCGGTTTGATCCTGCTGGTGTCCAGCAGAACTCTCTGTGCCCCAGGAGTGGCCTTGGAATGTCGTGAACATGCAATTGGCACTGCCCTGGGTTGGAGGAGATTGCCAGTCCCAGACCCAGAGCTTTCCCCTGACGCGAGAGTCTTGGAGAGCCCCGAGACAGAGGAGGGAGCCGTGAAGGCGGAGGAATGCTCGAGGCTTCGACATGGGCAGTCCTGAGGGAATCTGAAGGACTGTCTTTGTGTGTGCTTGGATCAGGCCGGACAGTTTCCAGTATTTGTGTAGAGCATGTGGTTTTTGGTTCAAGTAACAGAACCAGGGTTTGAATCCAGGCTCTTTGTGCCGGCTGCGGCTTACATGACCCTGGGCAAGTCACGACTGCGGGCCTCTGTGTTTCACTCTTATAAAATAAGGAGGTTGGCCTACAGGAACAGTGACAGCTGTTAGGTTTGGGAACATGAGGGGATGAGCAAGGACACGGGCTGGTAGTGGTCTGAGGAACCTGTGGAGATGGAATTATCCTCTTGGATAGACACATGGCATACTGCCGGCCCCTGGTGCGTCTCCACTCCTGTGATGGCGCAGAGGTGAAAGCACTGGCCTTGGACTCTGGAAGACTTGAGTTCAAATCCCCGTCCGAGACACTTGGGGTGACCCTAGGCAAGTCACTTCACCTCATCTCTAAAATCAGGTAATAGTAGCACCTGCCTCACAGGGTTGTTGGGAACTCAAGTGAGAAAACGTGGAAAGTGCTTTACAGACTTTGAGGTGAGAAAGACGTGGATTGCATGCACGGGAGCTGGTGGCGTATGCTGCGTGATCCTCAAGGACCCTCGCCGTGCTTGGGGGAACTTGAGAATCATGAGGGGTGTGCAGGTTTCCAAAGATTCGCAGCAAACCAAAAGGGTCCAGTTTTAGTTGGCTAGAATCATGAAACCATTTCAGGTTTTAGGCCGAGTTTCGCCAAAAAGACTGCAGCGAGCAGTATTTTGGTCAGTTGTGCTACACAAATGGCTTCGTTACAACCTTTGACTGACACCATCTGGTAGCCTCTTCAGGAATAATGCACGAGTGTGGACAGAGACTTCTTTTTTTAAGTTCTTAATGATGTCTTTTTTACATTACCATAATTTTCCTTACTATCCCTTCTCCTTCCTCTCTTTTTAGCCATCTTGTATATCAGTATTTTTAAAAACAAAGAAAGAGAAAAGCACAAGCAATGTATTGGAAAAAGTCTGAAAGTCTGTGCAATGTATCACACTTAACTTCCTGAGTTCAAATCTGGCTTCAGACGCTAGCTTGTGTGACCCTGGGCAAGTCACTTAACCCTGTTTGCCTCAGCTTCCTCATCTGTAAAATGAGCTGCAGAAGGAAATGGTGAACCCCTCCAGTATCTTTGCCAAGAAAACCCCAAATGGGGTCACCAAGAGTTGGCCATGACGCCACACTCCTGGACCTACCATCTCTGTGAAGGGGTGGGGTAGGGTAGGGGTGTCTATATCTCTTCTATGGAGTCATACTTACTTTTTGTAATTCTGCAACATTCGCTTGATTTTTCTTAGTGTTTTTCAGTTGACTTTGTGATAGTCGCACATATTGTTTTCTTGGTCTGCTTACTTTACTGTGCAGTAATTCATGTATGCGTCTCTCTGTGTTCTTCATCATTTGTCATTATGGCACAATAATTCCATTGCATTCATGATGAGGACTTATCGATAAATAACCTGTTTGGGTTATAGGTTATAATGGCATCTCTAAGTCAAAGAATTATGGACATTTTGGTGACTTTATTTGCAAAATGCACAATTGTTACCCTCCTATAACCCCTTCCAACACTGACTGTTCCTACCTTTATCCTCTTTGCCAATGTGCAGAATGATGTGAAATCTCTGGGTTATTTTGACTTGTATATCACTTAGGGTAGAAACATACAGAAATCACACCATTCTCTCTCTCCCTTCCCCCCGTCAATTCTTAGGTTAGAGAGGTTAAGGACCTTAAAATGATACTGGTAATAGAAATCTAGTTAGGTGCTGATTATACAATGAAATATGTAGATTTGTAATAGCACCTTCCTACTTCATAGCCAATAAAAGACTAATGCAATGTTTAATTCATAATTTTAAAGTTTAGAATGTAAATCCAGATTTTACCATGGCTTTTCTATTTTTTCCATTAGGCCAGAAATATTTTTATTAGCTTATCAGACTTTTACTGGTCCCTCCCACAAAGGTGTATGTGTGTGTGCCACACATGCCCACATATTTGGTGGTATTCTTACACTTTTACAATTGGGGCCAAGACTTGACAGAATTATCCTAGCTGTGAGTAAAGTGAAGTAGCAAAGCCTGGGTGTTTATACCGGACAACAGTTCAATGATGGCAGCTCATCGTAAATAGGAGAGGCCTCTTGGTTCTTAGGGTGGCTGACTTCTGTCTGAAGGATGCTTTCCCATGACCTTCTAATCTTCATATTCATTCTTGCAGGCTTACTGGGATTTCTCAGATTAGTTAGGCAACTAATGAGAAACTTGATGATCTGGTTATTGAAGCTAAGGAAATCTTGCTGTGTTTGGAGATTTTTGCATTTTAAACAGGCAAATCATGGCCAGTTGGTGAAGATTTTTTGCTATGCTGTTGGGAATGACAGCTAGTGCTAGAAACCAGATATTTAAAATGAAGCTTAATGGTTCTGCGTTTAATTTTTCAATCTTGTGTAATATTTTTTAAAGCAAAATCATTTGTACTTTTGAATTTTGAACAGCTATCGCTAGGAAATAGAAGTTTATTTTTAAGCAAAAAATTAAACTTTCAGCCAGGTAAGTATGGAAAACTAAGTATTAGATTAACAGTTCACTTTGGTCTTTCTTTTTCTTCATGGACTTGAAAAAATAAAAGCTCAGCTCTTCTGCTTTTTTAAAAATCCAAATAATCATTTAATATATAATGATTTCATCTACAGGAAGGTTTTTTTTTCCTCCTACAATTTAAAAAAAAATTAGTATAAACTAGATTATCACTCTAATAGGTTAGAAGGACAAAGTGTCTCAAATGGAAAGGAAATATATTTGGTGATAAATATTTTCTTTCTCTGTGTGTAAATGGAATTACAAATGATCCTACAGTTTTGCTCTGAAATAAAAATTTTCATCCTGATAGCAGTTGACACAACTTTATTTTTAGAGGTATTCTTAAATTCCAGTCATCCTAATATTTAAGTGACTTATCCTATTTCAGTTTAAAACTTCATTAACAAATATTTCTCAAATAAATTACTTTCCTCCAGCCCTGAAATTTATTACACTTTTTATTATGGTAAAGGCGATACCTGAATGCCCGTGTCATGACCAGCTCTTCCATAATTAAGGATTAGACAGACTGCTTCCCCAGGTCATGGAATCAGGAGCATTAGCAATGAAATGAATGAAAGTGCAAAAAAAATTTAAGCAGATGATAAGAGACCAGAGTTTTAAGCAATTTATTGTGACCAGTTTGTGATACTTCAAAAGTTTTATGTGATTGTTCATTTGTATCATAGTATCTTTGAGCTTTGACAGACTTCCCTAATAAAGCTGGTTTAGAATTTACACATTTGTTTAAAGTTTAGGCATGATGTATATTCATTCTATGCTGCTTGTCTTGGAGGTGTTTCTATTGCTACTGTGGAATTCTTTTTGATAAGGATGGTTTGGCCCCTCTATCCATGCACATAGATTAAAATTTCTAGACCCTTTTATTTTTCTCTTATTAATCAATGACTGCCTGAATTGAGTCTTAATTGTTTAGTTTTTGTCCCCATATGACAGCCTTGCCAGAGGGCATGCAGTAAGATTACAGAACTAGATTTAGGATTATCTTGAAATGTACTAGCTACTAAATTTAGGAACTTGGCTTCTTTAACTGAGTTATAATTCCATAGATCAAAGATTATAGATTTAGACCTAAAAGGAAAACCTGAGATCATTCAGTCTACTTCCTTTAATTTACACCTGAGGAAACTGAAGCCTGTCAAGGTTAAGTGACTGAACCAGGACTACATTCACAAGGAGCAGAGCCAGGATTTTAACATGGTCTTTCGGTTCCCAGGTTGATGCTCTGCATTGTATCATACTTGGGTAAAGTTGACATTTTTAACAAAAACTTTTAAAAATGAAAAGTAAAGCTAGCCCAACCTAGTTGGCCTATGAACTGTAGGTCATTGATACTACACACTTGAGGCAGTGCTAGGTGATTCTTATCTAAAGTTGTTGAATGTATGTATTCGATGCATTTTTAGAGTTGAGTAAAGCCAAAATTTGATTTTTAAAATATGTATTTAGGCTCATTTTTCCCAAAGATGAATAAAAATGTAAATAAATCCCCATGAAGATTTCCCCCTCAAGACCTTCAAAATGGAACAAACTTCTTAAAATTGTGCATTTAAAAGAAAGCAAAATTTTTGATGAGAGAAACAGTGTGGTGTGGTATAACCTTTTAACAGTGCTAGGCATGGAGTGCAGAAGACCTGGATTGAAATCCTACTGGACACTATCAGTTGTGTGACCCTGGGCAAGATAGCATACATCTCTGGGCCTCAGTTTCTTCATCTGTAAAATGAGAGGTTTGGACTCAGTGACCTTTAAGATCTTCTTCCAGCTCTAAATCTAT